GCATCAGCCTGTTCCTTCTCAGTCAGCCGGCTGGGGCTTTTTAACACCTTGGATGAAGAACTTGAGGGCACAGTATCTCTTGATGTTTTCAAAAACTGGATGGCTCTCTCTTTACATCTACATCGAGACTGATGGAAGGAGCGCATCCTGCTTCTACTGCTGAGACTGGATCCAAATCTGCTGTGTAGGGAGTCCTTCCCGCCCACACGTGATTCTCTCAAAAAAGGAGCGCCACGTTTATGGGGAGAGCGTTGTCTTGAATAATGGGAAGAATAGAAACGTTTTCTTCTAAAGCCATTTCTCATGGCCCTGTATTCATTCTGTTGGCTTGTGGAATACTCATCTCTTGACCATCGGTAGCCATAATGGCCTCTTTTGTAGGGCGGGGCTCTTCTTGGATCCTGAGTAAAACAGCGGCCCTTGTCCCATTCTTGGTAATCAACATGACAGTAGTATCTACTGTAGCCTGCTTCGTTGGGTCTGGCTAGCCGAGATGATCTCTTGTCTCCCAGAGGCGGTCTCTTTGGCACAACATTGATTAATCTTTGGTTGCCATCACTGGGATGGTTCCAAGGAGGCGCTTGTTTTCCTGGAAGTCGATTGTAGTGATACCATCCCTGTGCTTGTTTTCCTGGAAGTTGCTTGTAGTCACACCATCCCTCAGACCACATTTCATCTGTTTTGGAAGCCACTGGACTTCTGCGAACAGAAATGCCTACTTCCCTTCTTGTTCCCTTTCAATTACCAACCACACTCATGGCTCAGCTCAAGAATCTCTTATTGTCTAAAAATTCGTCATCAGAACTCTCCAACGCGTATGTTCCACCGATGCTGCTGAAACCGCACCAACAGCTCTCTAATTAGACTTAGGCCTACTCAACAGCACGGAAATCATGCCCGGTCCTTGAAAGCTAGGAAATTAGCTGGGGCTAGTGAGGGCATGTGTCATACAGGAGAATGCAGTACCACCACTTGACTAAATCAGTACAATTCCTAAGTGAATTCCACTTACTACAAAAAAGTGTAGCTCTCACCCCTCACCAAAAAAAGCTTCTCTTTGCAACAGAGAGAGACCATTGCAGAAAATCACAACCACTCAAAATCAGAGAACAAGTGATTGTGGGGTGTCTAGCCCCAGTATACACACACACA